GGTGGAAGCGGGTTGACCTGGTGGCTCTGTGCACCCAGAGAGCAGTGCGGGTAACGCCACGGCCTGGGCCAGAGTCCCCTTCCCTGCGGTGGGACGTGAACGGCTCCGGTGTTCCTCTGTCCGTCTCGCTAAAGTGCGTTGAGGGGCAGCAAGACCCCGGAGCAGGGGCTGAGAGATGTTTCTGCAAGATGCTTTTACCTGCAGACGCCTTCCCCTCCCCGTGTGTCATCACTCCTGCGCCTATACACGTGCTTTAAATCTAGAAGCGAGTTTCAAAACACGACCGGCTGTTCTCGCTCGGCGTGGCTGTTAGCCTCTTTTAGGCTGCTAAACAGAACGTGGGCCACGGAAGAAAGAAAAAAACCAAACTGCGATTTCCACATTTAGCTCATTGTCTTAATTAAAAATCAGTTCAGGTTGTACGCTCGTTAACAGAAGGAAGGGTGGTGGCTGGGTGATGGTGGTGTTGTTGATCACTTCTGTGTGCGCCGGACGGTCTTCTCACCGTGCTTGCTGCTTCTGACCCAAACCACAGCAAAATGTCGGTGGCTTATCCCTGCCTCACTTTCCCCATCCATAAAAGTAGAAATGCTGCTTGTTGGTTCTAGCGGCAGGTGGCACAAGGTTAAAAACACCCAGATTTTAGTGCTGGGGGGGTGAAAAGTTGGCATAACATCCATTATCCAAGAGCTTCGGGGCTTGATTCGGGGTTTGATTCGGAAGGGGGAGTTGCCGAAGAGGGGGACCCGACGCTGCCCTGAGGCCATGGCTCTGCTCTGGCTCCCCGAGATGCTGGTGGTGCTTCAGGGTGCAGCGGAGGAAGGCTCTGTGCTCCCCAGCCGGACTCCGACCAAACCGTGATGTGCTGGGAGAGAAAACCCGACTCTTCAGTGAGAAGGTACTTTAATGCAGGTGTCTGCTCACGCTTGCCCTTGCACGTGGCTTGTTGGACACGCTCGCAGCGTCTCTTGCTCTTGAGGAGCCTGGTTTTCCCAGCAGCTGCCTGACCCCCTCCACATCTGCATCACCCCCCTTCAGCACCCTTTTTGGCTGGCCCGATTCATCTCTGGCTGGAAATGCTGGTCCAGGGCTGTGCAGGCGATGCTGCTCGTGTTTGGAAGGAGTCCCCGCTGGTGTTTTCCAAGGTGCTTTGGCCACCTCCACTAAAGGGGTCTCTTGTGCAATGCCAGCAGGGAAAAAAATTTACGGTGGGCAGATTTTTTTGTGTGTTGAGAGCCGTGCTGGCCTGTGAGGCAGGACGATCTCTGTTTCAATGCACTCCTGCCCCGTCCCGTATTTTATAATTGTGTTGGAAGTTCTGGGTCAGGGACTGTGTCTTCCTTCTCCTGCAGAGGAGAACCTTGGCCTCTGGTCACAGCTCCTGCCCCGATGTGCCGGGTGGTTGGCACGGAGAACCTGGGGCTACGCTTGTCTTTGGGGAGCTCCGACTCGTGGGGCTTTGAAGGGGCTGATGCTGCTGTGCAGCAGCGCTGAGCATCCCCTGGAGACAGCGGGGACCAGCCGTGAGACGGGGTTGGGGCACATCCAGGTGTGCAGAGCGATTCTGGCCAGCCGCATCTGTGGGTTTTTATAATTTGGGTTGCCAGGGCAGGGCCTCATCTCTGGAACAGCAGCCTGGGAAAGAGCTTGAGGCTGCGGGGCATTGCAGTTTTGGGGCAGGGACATTGGAAAACGCAAGCTGTTAATTTAAACCCTGCGTATGAACGTGTAAACCAGATCTGGATTAGGAAAAAGCCCTGCAAGGGCTCCCTGCGAATGTGGTTGGAGTCTTGCAAATGAACCAGTGCTGGCCACAGGCAGGGCTGTTGCAAGTGCAGGGGAAAATAGACCTTGAGGTACCGAAAGAAAATATCGAGCAGCTGTTGCGCGAGGCCGCCGTGCCGAACGGCTGGCTGGCCCTGGGCTGGGGGGAGGCAGGCCCTGGTGCTGTAAAACTTACAAACTTGGGTGCAGAGATGGCTCTGGTGTCTCGTCCCTGGGAGCTCTTCAACTCAGGGCAAAACTACTCCTCTCCCTGGTTCACGGGTCCTTTGTTTTTCAGCATGTGGTGTTTGGTGCGCGGAGAGCGAGCCGTGGCCAGCCCTGACCCTCTGGGCAGGAATTTGGCCCGTGGGTTATACGTGGTAAATGTAAAGGCAGTGCTGAGCAGCGGGCGCTGCCGGTGGGTCCCCTTTGAAAGCAATCGCCTCTCTTGATGAATAAATAACTTCACTACTAGCAAATGTTATGTTCCTCTGAATACCAGTGTCATTTTGAAATCATTATGCTGATGGTTTTGGCTCGCAGTAGAATTTACCGGCTCTCAGCTCGCCTGTTTGTGTTTCCCATAAATACTTGAACACTTACTTGGCGAAGAGCTTCTTACACCCTTTGAACCAGCCTTTTAAAAGACGCTGTTGCGTGACATCTGGAGAAGCAGAACGAGTTACTGTGCAATCCAGGGAGTCCCGAAGTCCTGCCCGTGCGAAGCAAAGCCAAACCAATCCTGAAACGATGAGAGCTGCGGTGCCCAGACATGGTTAGTTTGGTTATTAAGGTTTTGAAAATTGGATACAGAAGCTTGTTTTGCATTGCTCTTGTAAATAGGCAACAGCCACCAGCCGGGTCGTAACAAGGAGGAGAGCAAAGATTTGTTTTGTATGATTTTACCACCGTGTTTATGCTCTGGGAAAGCCAGCGGTAATTTTCTGTGGTTGTTGATGTGCCGGTAGTTGAAGCAGCTGTGCAAATAGCCACTTAACCTGCGCCTTCTCTTGGCACTAACTCTGCACACTCCGTTTTCCGAATCGTTATAGATCTTAGAATTTGCCCAGAGGGCTTGGCATCTGGTTAGCCCTTCTCGAGGTCTCCCTGTGCCCAGGAGGGTGGTGAAATCATTGCAAAGCAGGGGAAAAGCAGAGCACGTTTATTCCTGAGCAGAGGCCCCTCTCAGTGGGCTTGCAGCTGGTTACTGCGTCCTCGTTATGGCCAGTCAAAGACTAACTGGGCGCTTCAGAGGATCAGTGAGCTGTGATAAAGAAGTTCCTCTCAAGGAGCAGTTAATGCCTCAGAGACAGGATGGATTAAGCTCTTTGGTTGCCTGAACGTACCTGGGGTCGAGATAGCAGGAGGTGTCTGAACCCCCAGGCCTGGGTCTGTGGCTGGTTTTGTGTTTTTTGGTTTTTTCCTCTGGATCCTCATATTTCTTCTTTTTTTCCCCAGGTTTAATCTGGCTGTGAAGTCAGAGTTCCTGCTCTGCGATTTAGTCACCCATTTGATGGGGACAGATTGGGATCAACAGAGGATTAGAGCTTTGTTACAGGGTGGGATGGGAACAAGGAGTGGGAAAGCTCGTTAGAAAGAGGAAATGAGACGAGCGCAGAGGATGCTCTTCATTTTGCAGGAACTTCATTAGTGTCCATTTAAGCCACATTGGATCTGCGGTGGATTTTGTGTCCTTGCTTCAGAGGCGAGGACCAAATGCAATGTGTAACCTAGAAGGGCTCTTCCCACCCATCATCTTCTCTTCTCCTGCAGGAAACGCACAAAGTTTACAGGCAGAAACTGGAGGAAGTCACCAGCTTGCAGACGGCCTGCAGCAGCTCCATACACCGGCAGAAGAAGACGCTAAGGGATCTGAAGCACAGCCTGCAACGGTAACAGGAGACCTGGAGGGTGGAGGAGGCGAGGGTGCGATGTTTCTCCTTCCCAAAGGGCTGAAATGTTTGGATTGTTAGCATTTTAATACTCAGTCTGTGTCACGGTGCTACTTTTGCTCCATATTATTGAGTCACCTCCATCTGTCACAGCCAGGTAAAATGTTTGTAACCCCATGAGGGATGGAGTCCTGTAAATAAAGGACATCTCTGAAGGAGCCTGTGTGGGTTTGCATCCTTGCAGCACGTGCCGTACGCTGCGGGACCGTACAGCTTTTGGTCCGCGTGTTTTGCTAGGTGAGCAAAGCTTTGCTCCTTAAGCCGTACTGGAAGAGCAGCATCAATCCTTGAACCTGAAGGTGTAACTTGCTCCAGGATGGATTTATGGGAAGGAACTGTCTCTGGCTGCTGGGCTGATCCCCGGGAGCCACGGGCTAAATTTCTTCTGTGCAGGTCTGTAAGCACTGACGCCATGGGTTGCTAACGCTGCTGTGCACTGCTCTCTGTTTTACATTAATTGGTAGAGCTGCTGTTTGTCAGTAAATCATCAGCTGTTCATTTTGTTACATCCCGAAATATTTCATGCCTGAAGAGTTGCAACCTCTGCAAGGGCAGTGCCTGAAACTGCTCACAAAGTTCCCGAAGTGAAAGGAGTTCCTGCAAAAAAGCACAATATTCCCTAAGTGCTCTGCTAGGGAAGAAGCACGGGATCCTGTCACTGAGCTGAGATGAACAGAGAAGCTGATTTATCAACCAGCTGGTTGAAATAACCTACAAAGGCATAAACCAGGCAATTAAATGAAATTATGGTAGCCAAATGGTGCTGCAGAAATACAGGAGCAAAGTGTGCAATGGCATCAACTCAACACAGTTAGCTTTTCAACAGCATGGATTTTATGACAACTTTATTTTCCTTTAAATAAAAAAGACGTAAAAACACAAACAGGAATATCTCATTTCTGTGTTCTTGCAGGTGCAAGCCCAGAGCGAGTCCTGAAGAGTTTGCTGTCATTCAGGAGATCAGCACCCAGATCAAGGAGAGGCAAAATGCCTTCTTCGACATGGAAGCCTACTTGCCGAAGAAGAACGGGTACGTGCCCCGCCAGCAAAGCGCGTGCTCCAGGAAGCCTGATTTTTTTAAGTGTTCACAGCGGTGTTGTTCCCAAAGCATAATGTGCATGTTGAAGAAATATGTGTAAAACTGGATTAGTCATAAATCTCTTGCTGAGCTGCTGTGTCGGTTATACACAGAATTCATTAGCTGGAGGTGTAAATGTACTGCGTGTAGGCAGCGCAGGTTTTCTTATTAAAATAAAAGTAGCCCTGCATTGGCGAGAGATCGTGCAATTCGCTGTTTCACACTGTTTTCCTGTGCTAATTTTTTTAAGACTAAATCAGCACAAGAATTTTCTCTTTTTTTTTTTTTTTTTTTTTTAAAGTAGTGTTTGTAACCAACTTAAAATTTATACTTTGCTCCAAGTGGGACTGCTAGGACAGATTTCTTTCAGTTGTCAAGGGCTGTCTGATGCTGCAGCCCCTCGGAAGTTTCTATCAGAAACTTTTCTTCCAATTTCTCCCCGTTATTTTTTTGGTTTGGACAGTGAGTGCTACATAGCTCGCTCTTAAACTGTAACGCAGAAAAGGGACGAGGAAAATCAACCCTTTCTCTAACTTCTTGGAAATGCTGACCAATCTTTCCACCTTTAAATCCTTTTCCGTAGTCTGTCTCTCCAGTTTGCCTTAATTAAAAAGCTCCAGCAAACACGGCTTTGGCAGATGCGATGGTCTCTTCAGCTCCGATCTGTGTCATCCTGCGGCGTTCACATAAAACAGACTTACATGGGTCCACTCTTGCTTTTTGTCTTCCAGCTTGTACTTAAATCTGGTGCTGGGAAACGTGAATGTAACTCTCCTGAGTAACCAAGCAAAGTGAGTGTTTCCACGTGTGTGAGTTTTTGGGTTTCTCTGGGGCCAGGCGTTGATATGGCCTGAAGTCCTGAGGCAGGAATGGTTTTCTCTTCGAGCTGATAAAAGATGAAATATTGAGGATGGGCAAGTCAGACCGTGGCGTGGGGCCAAGCTAATGCCTTGTGTAGCTCTGCTGGATTCTGTCCATCGTTAGCTTTCAAGCCCAGCCCAGCCTCTTGCCTTAATTGTACGGGGAGTTTTGCAGTGAAAAATGGTATTGTGACTTCTAGGCATACAGTGCTCCAGAAATTGGAAATTGTTTTGGTTTTAATCTTATCGTGCCAACCCAGAAACCGCCTCTTATGGACTTAAGCCATTGAGTTATCTTGCAGCGCAACGGCCGTGCAGCCCAGATGGACCCTCTGGGGGGCTTTCCACCACCGGCTGCTGGCTTTCTAAATGTTTCAAGGAAAACCTCTATCCCTGGGCTTGGCACATGGATTTGTATCTGGCTTGAAAAAAGTGAAGCCACATTCCAGTAAAATACCCGTTTGTGTCCTTAAATGGTGGCTGTTCCCTTCCAGGTTCGCCTACAAAGACGAGTATGAGAAGTTCAAACTTTATCTGACGATAATCTTGTTACTGGGGGCCATCGCCTGCAGGTTTATTCTCCACTACAGGTAAACTGCCTCTTTACTTTTAATCAAGTTTTTTGAATAAAAATGTGCTGGGTTTGAACTAACTTATCTTCTGTTAACGATGAGCTCTGGCAGTGTTTAGGCTTTGAGCAGTTGGACAGCAGGACAGCTTCTGCACCTCTTCTTCAACACTGGCAGGACCTGTCTTTTAGCTCCTTGCTTTTCCTTGTTTAACTTTTTTTGGAGTCTCTCGTAACTAAAAGAAATCCAACGTGACATTTTCTGATCTGTTGTTTTTCTGGCATCGTACTGTGCTTGGGAATGAGCAGTTGGTTTTGTTCACGGGTAGTCCCAGCAGGAACCGGCACGGTGCTGCAGCTCTCGGGTTGCAAAGGCAACAAGAGAGGCTTTGCATGAAATGGTCAGACCTGGAACCTTATCTCCAGGGCGTGATAAAGTGTCTGAGCACCACCAAGCTTCCAGTATTCAGTTTTGCTTAAAAAACAGGAAGGTGTTGGAGCCAGGCACTTCCACTGAGGTCTCTGTGGGTCTGGGGTGAATGCAGGATGGTACCAGGGAACGATGCTGCTGTATAGAGAGGCTGCCCCAAATCCCTGTGGCTTCAGGATTTTGCAAATGGCAAAATAAAGGCGCTTTTTTTTTCCCCCAGAGTGTAATGATCTGCTGCTCTTTTAGCTGATTGGATTTATATAGATCTTATGGAATCTCCTCGTTGAATTAGCCTGGAAATGCCTCTCTAAATTGGATCATCCGCTGCTTCCATGGTGCTTTCTCTCCTTCAGAAGGAATTAATGTCATCTCTGCATACCTGCTTATCGGCTCAAGATCTGCAGTGTTATATCACGGGGCACTTCCCGGAGGAAAGGACTCTGAGCCTAGCGGTGCTGCCGATGTGTGCAGTTCTGCCTGTGGATCGGAGATGTCCAGGTCTGGGGCTTTGTGTCTGTGGCCTCACTTGGGCAGGTTTTCATTTGCCCAAGGGGACGGAGGAAAAATAGAGATTTTTTTGAATGTGTCTTTATAATTAGCAGGATTTTTTACTGTGTGTTTTTTCTGTTTAACAGGGTGACAGATGAAGTGTTTAACTTTCTGTTAGTGTGGTATTACTGCACGCTGACGATACGGGAAAGCATTCTCATTAGCAATGGATCAAGGTATCACACCACCTGCAAAACTATTTAAAGCATGAAATGTCCTTAAAAGAAAAACAAGCAATAAAAGGGGATTCAGCCTGGCACTGAAGACCAGCAAATCCAAGACGCTGATGCCTCTCTGCAGGGTCTATCATCTCCATCCCCCTCCCCGGTCACTCCCAAGGGCAGACATGGCCACCTGCGGTTTGGGGAGGGAGGAGAAGGTGCAGTTCCTGAAAGTCCATAAGCTCTTGGCCCAAAGTGTGGGATGTTTTTGGCAGCTGTGGGTCAGTTGTAGATGTGGTCTAGGGTGTTAAGTGAGTGTGTGTTTTTGGTGAAAGGACCAAGCTGAGGTGCTAGCTCTACACCCTGCAGTTAGTGTGGCCACCCCCTGGGTCACTGCAGCTTCTGAATAAATGAGTCGTATGCAGGGAAAGTTTGCGGTTAGGAGATAATTCTGTAAAGAGCTGAGAACACAAGTAAAATCCCAGGAGAAGTTAACTGAAAGATGATCCTTACTCCCAGCCCTCATTTCCTTGTGGCACCCTTAGTAGGGGTATCCTACTAATGCAGGGTGGTGAGGTCCTCCTGGCGAATCCCTCCTGGAGTATCTCCCTTAGGTCTGGGTCGAGAAGTTGCTTGAGTTTGCACTTGTGTAACTTAACCTGGAGTCTGGTGTTAGATTTTAGCAATAACCTGATGGTTGCGTATCCCTGGTTTTCATCATCCAGGTAGGCTGGCGCAGGGAAACTGCAGCAATCGCCACGTCTCTTCCCAGGCGTGAGCCTGCATGTTGGTTTGCAGCTGGGTGAGTGGCGGTGGCTGCTGCTGCTGCTGCAACATTTTCAGCTCCCTCTTGCATTAATTAATTGGATTTCTAATTTGTCTCGTTTGCCACCTTTCGAGCAGCCAGCATTGTGTTAGCCCAGCTTCATGCACTCATTCCTGCGCCGAACGCTGCACAGAGAATTTGGACGCTCCCTTGTAGTGGTGCTTGTACAGGGGTGGACCAGCACTCGCGTTAGTGGCAGGAGTCAGTCTTGTCCTAATTAGGTGGCAGTGCCTAACGAACGATCAGCTGGGGACAGCTCATGGCTCCTTGTTTCAGCCAGTCTCTTCCCTCTCTGAAGCCAGTTGCTTCCATGATCTCCTCGAAATGGGGATGGGAGGGACCGTTCCTGGGAGTCTTGTCTTGGCGTTGCCAGCGGAATGCTTGTGGTCCCCACTCCCGATGCAAGAGGGGGTTTGTGCCTGGAGGCAGACACTGGTGTGGCGTGTGCGGTGCGAAAATCAGGGCCCTCCTGCTTTGCCTGGAGGCAAAAATCTTAAAAATGTGCAGATTTCTGGGAGCTGCTGGAGGACACAGTTCCCAGTGCTGGCTGCGAGCAGCAGGGATGAAGCAGTCTCTTCTGCAAGCCCGGCTGACCCCAGGGCTGCTGCGGGCGGGGTGTCTTGTTTTGGGGTGCTCTCCAGAGGGGATAGGGGATCACTGTGGGGCCAGAGACGAAGAGGAAAAATCCAAGCATGGGGATGTAAAATTGCTTGCCCAAGCCCAGCAGAGAAACCTCTGAGCCTGGGCTCGTTGCATCTGCAGAGGTGGGTTGCACTGGCTCAGTGCTGTCTGGTGTTAGAGGTTGCACAGCTTTGCTTGGAAATGTCCCAAATTAACCCATCAGTGTTGGCTTAGTTTCCAAAGCAGTTCTGTCCCTGGGGCAGCTCTTCACTTCTGGATTCAGCCTCACTACAGCCTTTGCTTGCTTTACTGTAATTTTCTGTGCTTTCTGCAGTGTTCATGTCTGAAAGAATCAGCCACCTCATAGGAAGGACTTGGAAATGTCACTTATTTGCATGGCATGGGAGAGAAGAAAAAAAAAAAGGGCGTGTGGGCTGAAACTTGTGCATCATTAGTCACTGCAGTACCTCATGCTGCGGGGACTGCTGCTTCTCGCTGTGCTGGAGAGCTCGTGGGAGCACGCGAGGTGCGCCCCGGTCCAGAGCCTCCCTCCAGCAGTCGTGGATTCGTGGCCCCAGCTGAGCCGTATCGCCAGGACAGTGCTCCGCAGCAACCCTTTTGCTTGAGCTGGGCTGTCTTTTGTTCCCTGCCCTTCCTCCTCCCCCAAGTCAGGATCATTTTTTGTCTGTAAAGCCAAACTTACAATGCTGAAACCCATGTTTCTCGTCTAACTGCCACGTTTTTTCTGTTCAGGATCAAAGGCTGGTGGGTGTCTCATCACTACGTCTCCACGTTCCTGTCTGGAGTAATGTTAACGTGGTGAGTCTGCCCTCGCCTGCTCGAGGTGCTTCAAGCCTGTTTCATGGTGTTTGCATCATCTGAGCATTTGAATCCAGCGTGACCACGAAGCTGTGGCCACACAGGCACATGGTGAAGCATCAGACTTAATATTTGTCCGATGTTGCAGATGCTTTCAGTGATAAATACAACACTGCAAGTTTGTATTTACGTTGCTGATTTAAAAAAAAGAAAGAAACAAACCCAGACCGTAAGCCCTAGTTGTGCTGATGGTAGCAAAATCTCTGCAAGTCTCCCGATTTCCGTCTCTGTGTAACTAAGCAAAGAAGCAGCACTTTGCTTTAGAGGGAGGACACCACAAAACGGATCTTTTTGGTGCCTTTACTGAACCCAGATTACAAACCCAAGTAACAAAGCCAAAAATGCAAGTCACCTTCCCACGGGTGGTGGTGTTGGTCAAACAGCGCAGCGATCCACCCTGTGAACAGCCCCTGCGCAGCCCATCTCAACTTTGGCATGAACTGATTAGTTCATAGTTAAAAATTATTTTAAAAGAGCAAATGTCTCTGCGCCTGCATCTGTAAGGGGATGACGCAGTGGGTGGAGCAGAAGGTCCCTGTCTATCCCAAACTACTCTTAGGATAAGGAGCACATCCATCTCCTGCTCCACCTCTTGGATTCTTGATGCAGACGCTGCCGAACGGCTTTGCTGCCTAGAGAAAACTGATAAGCACAGGAATAAGAGGGGGCAGCATTCATACACATTTGAGAGGGGAAAACTATTCGATGAGAGCATTTTCTACATGCTGGAGTTGCGATGTGTGGCCGTAGCTCCCTCTCTGGGCTCCCAATGGGGTGGGGTGGGCTGGGGACCAGCCGCTTGCTTCGTTTGCTAACGGGATCCGGCTTCGCTGTGAAGGGGAAGGGCACTGCATCGTATGCTTTTTGTCAAACAAACAGACCTCCTTTGTATTTTGCTTTCAGGCCAGATGGACTCATGTATCAAATGTTTCGCAGTCAATTTTTAGCATTTTCAATATTTCAGAGTGAGTATATCTTACCTTGCTAATTCACGGGATAAAATAGTTTTGTATCTTACGTGCTTAGAAGAAAATACTTCTGCTTGGTAAATACCGGAGTATTAAACTGTACAAATATAAACCATACCATGCAAATACACAATGTACAAATAATAATTAAACGCTGTTGGATTAAACATTATTAAAATAGTTTGTTACATTTATCATACTTCTGAATAGCCAATGCAGTGATGTTTTCTCTCTCCTCCTCCAGGCTGCGTTCAGTTCCTACAGTATTATTATCAAAGGGGCTGCCTTTATAGACTCCGTGCTTTGGGGGAGAGAAACCACTTGGACCTTACAGTAGGTGAGGTTTTCTGCAATACTTGGCTTGCTGAGGTTTTGCACAGGTTTTAGATGCGGCCACAGGGAGAAGGCTGCATGGCCTTCCGAGAGCAAGCTTTGCAAAGCTGCCGCCCCGCTGCCCGTGTGATGGCAGGAAGGGCAGCGAGCATTTTATTCCCCTCCTCGGGTCCCAAGGGTTGGGAGCAGAAGGCTCTGATCTCTGTCAGCTCTTGAGAGGGTTAAGATGGAGGTTTTCGTCATCCTCATCTTCATCCTCCTCCCGTTATCCCACCTTCAAGTTGTTTGGTTATTGCGGAGCAGGACAGGAATAGCCCATGTGGGGTGGTCTGGATGGGGAGGGCTGCAGCTGCGGTCCTGGCTCTTCTGTGCTCACCCTCTGCCTCTCCTGTTAACCTTTTCCAGAAGGATTTCAGTCCTGGATGTGGCGGGGGCTGACGTTTCTCCTTCCCTTCTTGTTCTTTGGGCATGTAAGTTGGGCAATCCCATTCCAGCCTCTGTGGCATGGGGCTTCGGGAGGGTCTGCCACTGCGGTTGCAGCACCATAAAAAGGTGCTGTGGATCACACTCCCCCATGGCAAATGCTTGGGGTTTCTTCTAGTAATTAAATTGACTTTTTTTTTCCTTCCTTTGTAGTTCTGGCAGCTATATAATGCAATCACGCTTTTTGGATTGTCGAGGCATAAGGACTGCAAAGAATGGCAGGTGGGTGTTGGTTCTGCTCAGGAAAAGCACAGAGCAGGCGGAGAGGGGGTGTTTAATCACATCCTTAAAGATATTTTGGCATCTGACCCCATCTAAAAATGACCCCATGCAGAAAATATGACAACAGAAAAATGATGGCAGTGAATCACTTTAAAAACATGTTGTCCCACTTTACTGCCCTACTTTTAGGGACCCTTCCACTTACTTTCTCCGTTGCTGTTGCCCATCAAACATGTCTATCCATTTTCCAGCTATACAATTGCTGCTGTAGATCCAGATTGGACCACATTGCGGATACAGTGGTGCAGATCATCTGATGGTCTTTGTTTTGGTCAGATACTGCTCTAACTTGTGTGCTCACTTTGTTCAGGAGGAACACACCTTCCCACAGAAACGTGTCATTCCCCCACTCCTGTGCCACTGCTGTTCGATGAACGTGCTTGTAGCATAATGTTAATCCATTAGATTGAATTTAATGATTAGATTTTACTGTCTGGTAGAGTCCAGCAGTGTTGAATATAATCCATGTTGTAATATCAAAAAGTATTAAGTGCTACTTCAATGATCACGATAAAAATACACTTCCTGTTATCCATGCATCCAGCTGTGTGGGTTATATACTTGGCTACGATCTTCTCACCTCGTATCTTTGTGCTAACGGATCCCTGGACTCGCCAACGAAGCCCCATCAGAGCTTGCTTAAATGGGGCCAAAGCACAACCCTCAGCCCTCACCTTCTTTTTTTCTCCTTCTTCTCCCCTCTCAGGTTTTTGTGTTGGCTTTCACGTTTCTGCTGCTCTTCCTTGGCAACTTCCTCACTACTCTCAAAGTGGTGCACACTAAACTCCAGAAAAACAAAGACAAAATGAAGAAACAG